TGAAATCTTTTATATTATATGCTACAAGTTTTTTTTGAGTAATTCTTGTATTTGTTATAGGTTTTGTTGGCATTTCTTCTAGTGATCATCAATAGTTTCTAATTTTATGTTTGTTTGTCTTTTATCTTTCTCTGTCGAGTGAGTGAGATAATTTTTAATATGCATGTAATATAAATAATATATGTATGTTGATTATATGACGAGTAAAATTGGTTAACTCTTGAATATTTATATATGTTATTTTATTTTTTGAGTACTTATCCATTGTTAAATTTACACTCGTATTCCATTAAATTAAATTCTATTTGATATGAAATTCATTTGCTTTGATAACTATACGGGTATTTATTATCTCTTGATATCGGTACACTAGTCAAAAACTCTACTAATATATAGTAGTTAGTTTATATGTATATAGTAGTCTGTATACCTAGCTGGTGAGAGAGACATCAACCTGTCGCGATTGATCCTTTCATAGTTATGTGGACCACAAACCTCATCTATTATCGAACCTTAAGATTTTGCCTGTTATCTAACATGTATTTCACCATTATATTACTAATATGCTTAATATGTATAATGGACACTTGTTTCGGTTTCTATATTCTTAATATATTAAATTTTGGCTTATAACTTATGAATATCTAAAATTAATATTACATATTATTTCTCCACTATGTTAGTTGAACTCATCTTTTTTATTTTAATATTATTTTCAGATTTTTAGTTTATGTTAGCAAGTTAATCTTTGGTAAAGAATTCATGCTACTTCATTTGTTAACACGTCTTACTTGTTTTTGTGATGTTTTTTTTTATTTGATATTTTAGATACTTTATTATTATTATGTTGTTTTTATTTAAATTTAGATTTTTATTTTAAATATTGAATTTTATTTATGGTAATGACTATTTTGAATTATTAATTATTTTTATTGGTTTTAAAAAATATCTTGAAAGTTTATGAAATACCGTGTGATTCTATATAATTCGTTTTATGAGAAGCATGTTTAAGGCTCAGGATGCGTGAAATGTTTTCTTAAACACTGCATTACCGGTCCCGTGCCTGAGATTTGGATAGGAATATTAATGTAAGCTTTTGGAGTTTCAATGCCATATTAATAATATCTTTTTATATGTTAAAAATAAATTTTAAAAAATATAATAATATTGTTTTAATATATTTCTGAATAAAAAAATTATTATTATATTTTTAAATATCTTTATATTAATACATGGTTGTTATATAGGATATGATAATAATAAAAAGTATAGTTTTTAACTAGGGGCTTTATGTGCTAAACTAAAAGCTTATTGTTCAAAATTTTGAATTCAAATATATTTTAATTTGAATGGAAAAGGATGTTTAGCCGGTAAAATAACAATATTAGTGATTTAATAAAAAAACAAAATAATTAAAACATTAGTGATTTTAATTTGAATGGAAAAGGATATTTAATTAAAAAAAATTAGTATTATTATTATTTTTTTAGGGTAAAACTAAGATAAGGAAATAGCTAAATACGGAGACATAAAATGTGTTTATTTGGAAATATGAGTCAATCTATATTTTTAAAAATTAAATTTTTTTATATGTTTTTGATTGTTTCGATGTGCTAACCTTAAAATAATTTTTAAAAAATAAAATAATTATTTTAATATATTTTATTCTAAAAAATACTTTAAAAATAACTATAATTATATTTCCAAACAAACTTACATTAAAAATAAATAGATATAAATAACCCGTACTCCTTTCTTTAAAACAAGAGGCTTTTGGTTCTATTGGTGAGGCTTTTGGTTTTATTAGTGCTTGAAATAATTTTGTTTTTTATTATTTTTTTATTATTCTATAGAGTTAATCAGTTTTTTTTTTGTTATACTTTTTTTTTTCTATCCATTCATCTTCCTGGATTTTAGAAAACTGACCCACCAATAAATCAATCCTTCGACACAGTAAACAGTAATTTTATTTCTTTGATATCATGTTTTTTTTTTAATGTTTCTTTTTTTTTTAATATATTAAAATAAATTTTTTATTTATTTTTTGATATCAGCACGATGATAAAACCATCAATAAATACTAAAAAATAATTAATTTAATATTTTTTATCCAAATATACTTTTAATGTTTTTCTTTTTCTTTTTTTATTTGATATCTTAGATGCTCTATTATTATATTGTTTTTATTCAAATTTAGATTTTTATTTCAAATTTCAAATTTTATTTGTAATGACTATTTTGAATTATTAATTATTTTTATTGGTTTTGAGAAAAATCTTGAAAGTTTATGAAATACCGTGTGATTTTATATAATTCGTTTTATAAGAAACATGTTTGAGGCTTAGAACAGATGAAATGTTTTCTTAAACACTGCATTACCGGTCCCGTGCCTGAGATTTGGATAGGAATATTAATGTAAGCTTTTGGAGTTTCAGCGCCATATTAAAGTCATGGTGTTGGTTTGATGTGTATATTTGTTATCAGCCTATTTCAATTTATACTTGCTAGACAATGAAACTTCATTAATTTAAATTTTGTAAAAAAAGAAGAAGGAAGAAGATGCAAATGGAAAATATTCTAAACAATGCATGTGAGATGCAGTGATATTAAATTTAGCTTGACAAGTCGAGACCTAACTCGAGCTGTGTTTAAAAAAGATAAGTGGGAGTTAACTACTATGATCAGTTATAATATGTCAACCTGCAATTTCATCAAAACAAGATTTTATTTCTTTGAAGAGAATTCATAAGTGATATCATTGCATCGTTTTAATTGACGTAGATCAACTTACTTGACCAATAACTCAAGCCTTGCACAGAGTCACAAGCTTTGCCGAGCTTCAAAACATTGGTGAAATGCAAGGCGATGTTATCCATCTATAATTTAACAGGCAAAAACAGTTCATGGATGACCCTATGCCTATCACACATCAGATGCGGTATGCAAACGTACAATCAAGTGCAGTACTGAAAAAAGAAAGAAGCAACCAATACCTTCGCCGCAACCGAGCTTGACACTCTTGAAAGATGTCCTGGTACGCAAGAACTCAAGCAAGGTTGTTGAGGGGTCTAATCTCGACGATACCTCGAACCTCTGTCCGTTGACGGCAAAGACTAGACTCCCTCTGCCTGTTTCCCTCTGCTTCTCTTCCATTACAGTGTAAAATGCTTGTGCCTGACAGACACAAAAATGGATCAGAATTATTTGTGATGGCGGATGAGACACACCCTCAGCTAACAATTCACATTCAAAGAGCCTAGTTGCTTTATAAAATGGAGGGGCATCTCACTTTCCTTTTCATTTCATTTGATCCCATTGTGTATTTTAACGTAGGTCGCATGCTCAGACGTCATTCTCCACCTCATACGGGTCAGTAGTTAAATATGCACGCAGCACGATAAAATGCAGGCACAGCTTGTTTTTTGGTGTTTTTTTAAAATTAAAATTTTTTATTTACTTTAAATTAATAATATCTTTTTATATGTTAAAAATAAATTTTAAAAAATAAAATAATATTATTTTAATATATTTCTGAATAAAAAAATTATTATTATATTTTTAAATATCTTTATATTAATACATGGTTGTTACATAGGATATGATAATAATAAAAAGTATAGTTTTTAACTAGGGGCTTTATGTGCTAAACTAAAAGCTTATTGTTCAAAATTTTGAATTCAAATATATTTTAATTTGAATGGAAAAGGATGTTTAGCCGGTAAAATAACAATATTAGTGATTTCATAAAAAAACAAAATAATTAAAACATTAGTGATTTTAATTTTAATGGAAAAGTATATTTAATTAAAAAAATTTACCTGAGTTGTCTCCTCAACAACTCTAGAGTTGATTAGCAATATAAACATAAGACCTCTTGTATTATTATTATTTTTTTTAGGATAAAACTAAGATAACGAAATAGTTAAATACCGAGGGATAAAATAAACCTGTTTGGAAACACGAGTCACTCCATATTTTTAAAAAATTAAATTTTTTTATATGTTTTTTATCGTTTCGATGTGCTGATCTTAAAATAAATTTTTAAAAACTAAAAAAATCATTTTAATATATTTTATTTTGAAAAATACTTTAAAAAATAACTCTAATTACACTTTCAAATAAATTTGTATTAAAAATAAATAGATATAAATAACCCGTCCTCCTTTCTTTAAAACAGGAGGCTTTTGGTTCTATTGATGAGGCTTTTGGTTATATTAGGGCTTGAAATAATTTTGTTTTTTTACATTATTATATCTCTAGAGTTAATAATTTTATATAAAAACTGCTAAACTCAATCATTTGCTAGTTTTTTATTGAGTTCAATCATGCAGAGGTAATAAAAAACTGGGAAAGGGATAGAAAGTGACATTCATACCTAACACCAAAAAATCAACTTTATAAATATCTCCTGTATACAATATTTTATTAAATTTCATATGTCGATCTTAGGACGCGACTTATATGAAAAACATTATTCAGAAGGTGATCTGTTTAATTCATTTAAATTAATTAAAATTTGATTTGATTTAAAAAAAAAATATCCTAGCCAAAGAGTTAATATATTCAATTTATAATTTGAATTTTATATCAATTCAATCTCAAATTAAACTTAATTAACTATAATTTAAATCCAACCACCATCGGATTAATCCAAGACATATGTACTGGAAAGATTATTAGATAGATCCTACGGACCAAACCTGCAATGCAAGCTGGGGTGAATTAATGCGGTAAGTTTTTCTTTTATATTCCGAATGTGAACCTCTCTTAAGTATTATGTCGAAGAAGTTTTAAATTAATATAATTCTAAATAATTATTTAATATTTTTTATCCAAATATACTTTTAAAACGTATTAGTTTCAGTTTCAAATAAAGAAACAAACAAACAGCGAAGATGGTAAAACTCAATTAACTCCATGCCTAGTCGGTTATACAAAGGAGCTAATTAAATCAACATTAATTACAAGGACGTTATGCCTTGCATGCATGGTCCTTTAAAATGGCATCCTCTACCCTTCCATCACACTTAGCCGGTCCACGTCTATCTTCACCCAAGATGGTTCAAGCTACCATGACATGCTCGATTGTATTAACGCTAGCTTTTGGGTTCATGGTGCTTGCCTCAGGTGTAGCGGCAGCTCCTGCAACACCATTTTTCGGTCGGGACCCTGTAGAGATTCAAGAGTGCTTGGCAACCATCAAGGCACACGCAGATATTTGCTTGCAAGAGGTTGCATCCTTGGTGCTGACCTTTCAAAAGAACTTAGTCGGCCCTAAATGTTGCAGTGCCTTGGCTGTAATTGATGACAAGTGCAAGCCTAAAGGATTTAGTTTTGATCCTTTCTTGCCTCCATTGTGGATCAGGAAACGCTGTGCTTCGCTATTATCTGCTCCAAGTCCTGATCCAGTCGTGCCAAGTTCTACATAAAAACATGTCAAGGATTCCTAAGAATGCGCCAAGTCCTGCATCAAGTTGAATAAGTTTTGAGTTATTAACTTTCATTTTCTAGCATTGTTGGAAATAAGAGATGGAGGAGAGCTATGAGAGAACTCTGAGTTGAATTAGAGCAATTTTTTAATTTAATTTTATTTATTTTGCTTGGGTTGAAATCTATGAGTAGATTCTTGATTCTATCATTGAGGTTAAGTTTCATTGTGTCAAAAAGTTGCCCACGATAATTTTGAAGCTTGTAACAAGGTCGGATTTTATGTGAGTGAGTTTTTCCTAGTTATCGTTCATTTGATTCTCGCTATCATTATTGTCCATGAAATCTAATGCCATGCCCTATTCTTTTTAATCATTATTTCCTTCTCAGCCTTGAACTTAGCTAGGGTCAGCAAATCAACCCAAAATATTACCGACTCAAGTTACGTTTTAATTTAAAGCGAAAAAAATATCTCGGCCAAGACTGAGTAACTCGGTGGGTAGACCTGTCCAAGCCTAATCAGCCTAGCATCAAGGATTCGTTTTAATTTGTTCTCTGCACTGCCAAGACTGAGTAACTCGGTGGGTAGACATGTCCAAGCCTAATCAGCTTAACATCAAGGATTCATTTTTTCTTCTCTGCACTTCGTTTCGACTTTGGACATTTCGTTTGGAGGTGTAAACGCATTTTAAGCAGCCGTGAAAGCTTCGCGAAGATCATTTATAAGCGTCGTTAGCAGACTGAATGGTCTTCTTAAGCCTCTGGATGTCTGCATTCTTATCAGAATCAATAATCTTTTAAGCCCCTGAATGTCCTCTGCTGTTGTATTTCCACGTCTTTCCAAGCAATCTCTACCTGAACCTTCAGGCTATTCTTTTCTCGCAAAGAATCAATAATCTTTTAAGCCCCTGAATTTCCTCTGCTGTTGAATTTCCACGTCTTTCCAAGCAATCTCCACCTGAACCTTCAGGCCATTCTTTTCTCGCGAAGTTTGCCCACCTTGAGCTTGCTTGTCCTTGTACGTCGTGCTGCTCTTCATAAGAGAGATCAGTACTTTTTTGCTGTACAATAATTTTGCTCCTTCTTAGCTTATTACTGCACAAAATTTACATGGACTCACCACTATAATATATTTAATTATTTAATTAACTGTCTAGTTACAAAAGCTTTGATAACATATAAAAAAATATTTTAACCTCAATTAAATAATATCTTAACATTAATGTATACAACAATTTATTATTATTATTATTTGTATTTGCTTATTATTATTATTATTATTATTTGTATTTGGTCCTATACATTGAAACTATATATTACTCTTTTTTAATAAAAAAATGTATCCGACATTTTTATCATTTATTTATATGCCAAAATATTTTGAAAGTATAAAACATTATAATACCTACAGCATCGTAATGGGGCACTCTCTAGGTACATAAATTAGGCAAAGAGGCTGGCTGTACACATTTACATTGTATAGAGTGTATACGCACAGTAATTTCTATGCTACCATACAAATACAGATTTTGTACTGTCCCACTAAAGTACATAATTCCTTTTCCCTAGCAAAAACCAACAGGCTAATAAACCTCGCAATTATAATACATGCCCCCAAAATGGCTAAAGAATGAAGGAATCTCTGCCCATTCTTTAGATGGTTAAAACAGCACATCATGGAGATTGATTTTACAACTCAGCATCACACCTATTTCTATACCCTATAACAAAGAAAAAACTCAGCATCACAACACCAAATCCTAAAAGAAGAGGAAGCTCCCACCTCGAATGGACAATGGCTGAAATTGCGAGTGTTAGGTGAGCAACAGGACCCGCAAGATACCAGCAACTGGGATTGGCATTTGGCGACGCCATCCTGTTAAGGAACTTGGTTGGATTATCATCTCTTTGCACGTTGGTATGCAATCCACTGTTCACCATCATAGGAATGTCATAGAACTTTAGGCTCACAAGGCATAAAGGTCCATTTCATTTCCAACATCTGAGTAGTACTTGTTGTAGTTGAGATATCCCCAGAAACGGGATAGCCCAAACTCCCCATGCTTACGAAACTTGAGATAGCATAAATGCAATTGTTTCAAATTTTTGTCGAACTTTTGCTTTATGGCAAGCACCTGCAGAAGCAACACACCAGTAAAGCTTATATGCAGTCTGTAATTGTTCTCAAAACATTTCAGAGAGCTGTAAAACTAGAAAGCTAACGCAAACTAGAATTGCAACTGCACGGTACAGGCAGCCATAATTCAAGCACATAAGAAGACTTTGTGCATTAACATGTTTCATGGACCTCAAAGTACATTTCAAACTAAGATGAATCACTTGCCATATGAAACCGAAATATGAAAGGATGGATTATCTCATCCACAAGCTCAATATTATGATCCTTAGTTTTACGGTATATTTCTTTTTGAAAGGGTGTATTATCTTTCATGTGTACAACATACTAAATCATTGTCCAACAACTAGAAGTCAATTTATACTAGTAGCACGCCTTAATTCATCATAACCACTGTCAGTAATGTAAGTGTAATATTCTTGAGCCAAAACACTTGCATGCTATCAGTAGGTGAAGGTCACAGCAACGACTCACATATATCAGGACAAATTGGCAAATAGTGACATATGCACATTTAGTCAATCATACACATAAGTTGTCTCCATATTTGATATTTGGTAGGCTGTCAGACCTGACTCTTAAGAATATATCCATATCAACACAAGTTTAATCATGTCCATACCCATGCATGCAAATGCAGCTTTTAGTTGTAAAGGCAACACATTGGACATACAGTGCAAGAATTACCTGGGATATATTGATTCTAGAAAGTTTACCCAACAAGTCTCCTTGATCCAGTCCCATATCCCACATGCCACCAGTAAAACAAGACCGAAACTCAAAGGCACATTGCAAAATGCTTTCAATAATGATGGCTACAGGCCGAGTTTCATTAGAGAGAAAACATCTGCGAAGATCAAGCTCACTGTTAACTGATAATCTCTTCTTTTTTTGATAGATGTCAGCATCTAATGGCACAGATGGTATGCAGGGGCATGGATAATAACATCATCAACCAAAAGTTAATCAGGTATGAAATTTGACACATTTCCCAGTCCAACACCAACCTAGCAAATAATCAATTGCATTTTAAAGAAAAGGTGCAAAGTTTTTTCTAAAAAAAAAATTATCAAAGGAAACTGTCACTAAGACATTGTAAAACAAAAATGTGGTGTTGAATATGATTTGAAAATGATGAAAATGACACAACTCAATTCAAGTGTAGTATGCCCCTCTCGGTTCAGATATACATGTATCTTAAAATCTGACAAGAATATTTACACAAGTGCTTTATGAAAGGAATATAACCATCTCTCATTCATTGTGCGCTGGTACATGCACATGCACAATTAGGCTAAATGATTAAATGACTGAGACTTCAAATTCCCACACCCCTCCCTCTCTCCCTCACCATCAAATTCCATTGTGTATTAAAACAACTGTATAAGAAACAAAAACTTGCGATTCGAAAAACTTTTTTTCCACATGTTCACAAAGTACCAATAATTTTAAACAAGAAAAAGGCCTCAACTTACATGTGTAGTGAATCAGTTAAATATGCCATGTGCACTGACTCCAGATCCATCATGTCTTTGACCTAGAAAACAACAAAGTTCAAGACTGGTCAAATGAGAAAGTAGACAACAAATGGATAGTTTCATTTCCTTCTATCATTAAAAATCTCCATCAACTGCATTTCATCTTTCCATGGTCTCTCATAACAGCAGTAATAGTGTCACAAATTTGCATTGTATTAGAACACGTTCAATCAAGGTTGTGAATACTATCTGTAGTCCCCACAGCTTTCTTATTGAAAATCATTAAGTTCTTTCCAAGCACATTTGATCTTCAAGCATATCCTCCATCTCCATGATCTAAGGACACAACAATTGGAATGTTTCTCGTCCAGCTCCTCCAAAAACCTTTCTTCTTTCTCCCTTTCAAGGAAGAACTGATTTCTCATTTTGATTTCAAATTTTCAACATTGAATAAGTTAGATAGTTGTCCTAAATTCATATTACAGATATGCCACATCACAGTAAAGGAGTAATGCAGAGTTAAAACCAACGAATAATGCCTCAAAATCCAATGGAAAATTAGAAATTGGAAATAACATTAAATTGTTTTCCACAATCATTTTCAGCAGTAAACCATAAATTCAACCACCATGCAAAATATGCGGGAATAATATACATCAGCAGCACACATGCTAGTGAAGCCAAAGAAATATATCATGGACTGGAAAAAAAAAAGAAAAAAGAAGTGAAAGTAAGTTGCTTCAAACCTTATACTTTAGGGAGTGGAGAAACTTGCACCATGACACATAAGATAACTGTGACTGGACATACTGTTGCAATGCAGATATAAAATGATTGATGTGGTGCCTGTCATGGAACAGAGGAGTAAATATACTTGCTCGTATAAAACTTCAGGCCTAATGTAAAACTACCTTCGAAGCTAATAATAGCATCCTAAAAAAAATCATGCTAAACCAGCAGAAGTTTCGACTAATATACAGCATTTTGACATTTCATGCAACTTTCACATAACCCAGTACTCTAAAAACTTTCCATGTTCTCATCATCATCATCATCAGATAATCAACAATTAATACAAAAGCATATATACTTGAAGACAATGCCATTTTTATCATTATCAACTAAGTAAAAGCACCCTCAACTTTCACATAACCCAGTACTCTAAAACCTTTCCATGTTCTCATCATCATCATCATCGGATAATCAACAATTAATACAAAGGCATATATACTTGAAGACAATGCCATTATTATCATTATCAACTAAGTAAAAGCACCTTCTGGCATCAGAAGGAAATAAATGTCATAAAATTTACATAAGAAAGAAAGAGTTCTGAATACCTTATCTTTATCAAAATGTTAAGATGACGAATTCCACGTTCTTGTGTTGTAGAATGATTTCGGGTCACCATGTGCATCATATCCTGTAAAACATAGGTGACATGTTATAAAATTACAAACAAGGCCAATTCAGTTCCATTAGCTTCCATAATTCAAAATCAAACACCAAGAAGCTGATTTACTATCTGATTCTTATATGGATGATTTTATCAACCTTCTCAAAACTTACATGCTTCTGTGATCTCTGAAAATTTAATTTAAAACACTTATTTTACTTCCATCCAAAAAAGGATAGAAGACTTGAGTTTTAAGTGATGTTTCCAAGATGCACCATTCTTTCATAAACACATAGAATTAACTACATAAAAGGACCATACAGACAAGCAGTTGTGCAACTCAGAAACTCTGAGAACAGGGTAACAAAGAGAAGATAAATATGGTGCAACAGTAGTTCAATTGTCGTAGGATCATAAAAAAATCATTTCTAAGCAATCCATAAAGTAGTTGCAACAACACATGGGTATTGTTTGAAATATAATAATCAAGAGCAGCTTATGCAAGATGATCAGTCTGAGACTCTAGGGAAAAAACCCACAGGTATTGTTGCGGTTGACAGCCAACCGTTAGATTTGTTCTGTCTAACTAAGAATGATCACAAAGTACCAATTCATCCTGTCTTTCAAAAACAATGCAAAAACCCCCCAACAAGTCCATGCAAAGGAAAATGAAGCCCCCTGCTAGTCTACAAGACAAACTAAGACATTATCTGGGTATTAATACCTTCAGTGAGCGCCATACTTCAGTCAAAGAGAAAACAGCAAGCTTCACATTTATCAGAAAACTGAATATCTCAGCATATATTTTCAATCCACTTGGAGTCAAAACAATGCTAATTGGCCAATCCACTTGGTAACCCAAACCCAAAAAATTGAAGGAATGCACTCCTGCCATCATTGACAAGGTCAATATTAGCACAAACTGAAATAATGAAAAAAGAGTTCACAGTAGTAAGCCTAAATCATATTCAGAACATTCTATTTAAGACTCAAGGTGCACTAAGACTAAGGTACCAATGTCTTCCAAAGCACACAAGTATGGTGCAAGGTAGGTGCAAGTTTTTCTTTTCGGAAAGAAAAAAAAAAGAAAACTATACATAATTGAAATGACTTGTCAGTCTCTTAGCACTTAAACTGCAATGAAAACAATTACCAATTGTAAATGCTGAAAGGGGCATTGTGTCATTCCCTTTCATGTAGACAAACAACCGATCCTTATTAGGGTCTCGTTCACATGATGACCTCTTAACTGACAACTCAAGGAACCGTTGAATTTCTAGCACCCTCTGCTCAGCCTCGGCAACACACCACTTCTGTTGTTTCATGTAAAAAGGAAGGAAAAGATCAGAAGCTCTGGTGTTTGAATCAAATTACCATAATAGTAACACATTTAAAGTGATTAGCAGACAGAAATACATGATGCCAAAGGGACATGATGAACAAATCTGCCCAGTCTGCTGATTCCATGAAGTAGTAACGCCGCAAAGCCTGTAAATGTCCTTGCAAATCAAAACCCTCTTCAAGCAGCTTAATAGCAAGCCTGCTGACATATTTATATCTAGCATCATTAAGGGAAATTTTGTTTTTCAAAATTGAATTCTCTCCTAAAGGCACCGTGTTAAGTATGAAATCAGAAACGATATGCATGATATATAATTCTGACAAACAGAAAGAAGAAAGATGAGAAGGAAAGACTAAATCAGCAACACCTTTTCTAAAGCATGCACTGATTCTTCCAAACATCAGAGAACTTCCATTGTATTCCATTTCATTAAGATTGCTTACAAGAAATCAATTATCAGTTCCAACAAGAAAAACTCAAGAACTTACTCAGGTTTCTGATTTGAATTAGATAATTGCAGATCTCAAAAAAGACTATTCAAAGGCTTCTCTCATGATTCCAAACCCCTGGACAAACATCCAATACATGCTCAAAGACAAGGGAAGTAAAGAGTTCTGTTAGCTTTTCACCTAGATATGAACCCCACAAAATGAGTCCTACTAAGAGGGAGAATTTGAGAAGTCCTTTATCATTTTTTGCATGAAGTGACTGCTCTCATTATACGAACTTGTACTCTCAGGATGCAAGATCATTTTTTTACAATTGGACCAGGCAATGGCCACCAAGGAAAGGAATCTATGATTTCCTATTTATAAAACTAAAGAAAAGGACACCAATTCAAAAGCTCAAAAGGTTAAAAAATAATTCAATAATTGGGTCCCTCGGAAAACTCTATTCTTACAGACTCTTTAAACCACACAGAAAAAACAATCACCAAACCTCATAAATAAATGCCTAGAAATCTATACACAGCAGAAACAAATTACCAAAAGACAATGATGAAATACAGTGAGAGGCTAATGTAAAAGGCAGTTGGTCCTTTACAAACAAATATGCTGTTGGGAAGCCATATGAAGAAAGAGCATGGGGCTCATAAAATGAGGGGGGGAAGGTGAAAAACTGGAACAGCATCAGATTAATCTTTGCACTGCATCTAGAGCACATACATATATACTAACAACTGAATAAAGGGGAAATAATTGTAAAAGGATACTGGAGCAAGATTTCCTGCAGCAAGCATTTGTCGATGACAAAATCAAGTGGAATCTCGAACATGGATGACAAACTCTCCCTGTGATCTCCAACACTTTCATTTTCAGTGTAACTAAATCTCTTAAGCAGGCTCTGCCAACTAGTCCCACCACAACCATTTGTTGAAACAACAGCTTCTTTATCTTGTTCTTTCAAGTGTACTGACGAGTCACTAACACATGCTCTGGCATTATCAAACAAGACAGCTTCTCCATCACAGCCTTGTTTACACTCATCATGACTCTTACCACTGGTAGCTGGAGAAGTAATATGCAGTGGAACCTGAGATCCAAATTCATGTCGGAAACTGGCAGCGAACTTTTCTACAGATGCCTTACAAGGGTCTTCAACAGTTGAAAAGTCAAAGCAAGGTAATGATGGTCCATATGCTGTGCTGCATTTCTCTTTGGGCATGGTTACAAGGTGAAAGTAGGCATTCTTTTTCAACATTGGGTTTCTACTTAGAAAATTATAGCGGTAATTAACCTTCCATGGCTGTAATGCAAATAAACTTGAAGTAGAGTTTCTGTTTTTAAGTTGATCAGCTCCTGAGGCTTTCTCTATTAAAACATCTTTAGCAGAAGTCATATGGGTAAAATATGGTAGATCTGATTTCAAAATTCCTGTATTTGTTTTACTCGCTTCTTGGACAGAGTCACAATGATCTGACCATGGATAAAAGCTGTGCCATTTGTCATTGTAAACAGAATTTTTTGGGAGGCCAAACTGCCGGCACTTACCAATTACACTATCTATATTATCAAACATGCATGATGAATTTGACTCCTTTGAATCAGGGGGTGGAAATTCATGACTTGAAGTTCTTCTCTTATCATAAACACACATGAAATGGCCAACAAAATTGTTTTCTTCACTATTTTTACGTGAGTCAGTTTTGATGTCACGTGAAATTTCACTTTGAGTAGGCTTTGGCAATGCAGTATCAGTTGGGCTACTCATGGAAAACCTCAAGGAAGATAAGTATCTCTGTTCATCTCCAACCAAACCATTACCCTGCTCAATTAGCTGCTCAGCCTCAGCTTGCTCTTCAGACCCACTTAAAGATGAACATTCAGATGAATCAGATGTACCCAACACATAGAACTCATCACTTGTGCTAGAGTCATCAAAATTGGTGTTATCAACAGCCCTAGAAGCACAGAAACACAAAAAATCAGCGGACATAACAAAAAAATAGAAAAGAAAAATGACTGATAAAAGCAAGAATGATAAATGATGAAATAAATGCAATACAAGTTACAGGGTGTCACCCCTCTCTTGTGACACTCCAAGCACAGTCAAGATGACATGGTTAAGTGAATTTCAAGCGCATAACAGACAAATATACACACTGCACATATTTAACAGGTGTTGATGGACAATCAACCTGTCAAAAAACATATGTGAAACTGCATTCTTTGAACTCCCTTCACCATTGTCAAAGGCAATAGATATAGTGCCATGTGGAACTACCTGAAAAATGGAAATTTATAAATCACCTATTGAATGATTATCATAAAAGCAAGGCAGCAAAAAGAGCCTCCATAGAAGCATATAGGCATGACAATCACCTACTGAACATGACAGAATCTTCCCCTCTGGAAAACTATCAAACTGTAAAGCATATAACTACCAGTGAATATATTTATTTCATATAAGGAATGGAACCAAGTGGGGGCTAGACATTATGGATCGTGGTTCTACCAGTTACGAGTAACAATATTGATTTTATTTTTACTTTCTTCACCATTAATTGAAGTCATAACAATAGCGCATCCCAAATGCCAAGCAAACTGGCATTTTCACTATATAGCAAACAGCAAGATATAAAGGCAAGAGAAAGGGTATCGAGATAGTGAATTTCAATCTTCTACCATCAATGATAGCAGAATGCAAATATATATATATCAAGGAAATTGAGTTCTGATCACAAAACTATTACCTGCCGATGCCTAAATTCCAACTTCGACGACAGATTTTTTATCTTCTCTAGCATGTTTTCATAATAATTGTTCCTTGCAATTACCATGGCTTCTAGATATCCTTTACTGAAAGTCAATGGAGATGCAGAAAACAAATGATTGCTTAAATATCCCCTCCAACTGGGAAGCAAATCCTCACAAGTATACTCTTCAGGGCCAACATAATTACATAATTCAAGCAATTTCTTTAGCACTTGAAGCTGCTGACCAGCTCTGACAATTGGAATAAAAAAGTCCTTCAGAAAACAAGGAACAGCAACCCTGTCCTGCTCATGAAGTAAACAGTACCCAACCATATTATGAGAATCTACTTTAACACAAAATATTCAGAGTATAACACATCAAAAGCCTGGGCCTGAACCTAGTTTCAACCTGAATTCGATTGAGTACCCCAAATGACTTTGCCTGGGCCTGAACCTAGTTTCAACCTGAATTCGATTGAGTACCCCGAATGACTTGATCAATGAGAAAATTCACATTATGAGAATCAACAACTCAAAATACTAATACAAAATATTTCTTTAAATATTTTCCCAACTAACTAGTCCCAAATTTGTCATTGGATTGAAATCTTTAGATTTTGATTTTTTTTTTTTTTTTATCAGAGCCAACTCTGTTTTGTCATTGGATTGAAATCTTTAGATTTCGATTTTTTTTTTTTTATCAGAGCCAACTGTTTTTTAATGTCTCAAGATCTATTGGATTTCTAGTCAGATTCCACAATATATCAGATAAGATTACTTTTACAGAACCTCAATAGAGTCTTCAAATTCAATGTAGGAATGTTAATATAAACTACATTTTCATAGTACTTTTTTTTTTTTTCCTGGATGAAAGACATTACCTGAATACTTGCCAACACAAAGTCGATAGGGATGCCACCTTTGTAATGTGGATGAGGAGATAGATTATCAGCGTATTCTACCATAAATTCCTTGTACGGATCACTAATATCTGCCTCGTATATCCACGATCTTATAAATCCAATATATGGTTGACATGAGCGAATAAACAGGAACTTGAGCAGAGCACGGTGAGCAGGATCAGCAACCTAAAAAAGTATTGGTAAGAACTATTGTTTTAGCAAAACCACAAGAAATGTGAAAATATGCTTTCACAATTTAAGAAACAAAAAAAACTCCAAAAACAGAAGCAATCTGGAAGGATTTTCAACAAAATAAAACTTCAAAGGTTCAGCAGCAAAAAGCAAGGTAACCACCAAAACACCTCCATTCACAAAGATGAATAAACAATGGTAGCATTTGAGCAATGGATTTACCATAGTTCACAATTACCTCATATTTTTACTAAAATCATTGAGAGTTTAAATCTTTATCAGATTTTGCAACAAGCAAAAGAGTAAATAACTTATATTGCAGAATAAACAATCACTTGCAAATGATACCATTAGGAAAAAACTAAAAAACTTTAATTAACCTGACCTGTAGTTGTCTATACAAATAAGTAAGAAGATCCCCTCCTCTATAGAAATTACAAAACTCCAAGCTTGCTTTCGCAGTCAACTCTTCAACCGAAGACTCCAAGAAACAAAGAGCTACACTTTGAACATTACACACATTCCCAAGCACTTCAACCTGAGTCCTCAATTCCTTTGTATGCAAAAACACCTCCAACAACGTAATTTCAGAATGCACCACACTCGTAAAGCACGGCACTCTACAATTCTTAAGATCAACAGCATTACTCTTCGGGGAGCGCCTCAAATCTATCGAAGCATATAATGTACCAAGCGCACTCATATACCCTTCTAAAACCTTCCCTACCGCAACACTAAACGCTTGATTAACCAAACTATAAGAAGAGGCCGCGCCCAAATATGCTTCGAGATTAAAATTGTTAAAATAATCTACAAATTTACGGAGAAGAAAAATTACGAAACCGGAACGAGCAATGGAGGTCAGAAACTTCCCCAGTGCGTTTGTGCTGGTAGACCGGTTCCATAGATTGGGAATTGTATGGTAAGTCCGATCGGCCGGGTCGGATATGAAAACAGCAGAGAGCTTTTCGATACTGATAAGAGCCGATTCTGAACCCTGCAGTGCGTTCAATGCCAGCCTCACCAAACTTTCCTCCTAAAAAAATAAAAGAAAAAATCCGATTATTAATTATTTGTATAGAAATATCAGGAAAAATAAATTGATACTTACGGAGAGGGAAGGAGAGGGAGAGTGGTGGAGGAGTGGTGGCTGTGGTTGGGGGGGGAAATAGGAAGAAGAAGTAGGGGCATTTTGGGAAGGGATTGATTCCCAGGTTTTGGGAGGGAGCATCAGTGGATCTTCTTCTAGTAGTTTTAATTTGTCGAAAAATGAAGAGAAATTCGTGTCGACTGCCATTTTAATTCCTCTCGATCTCTCCCACGCTTTCTCTCAGACTCTCCACTGCTGCTGCTGCTGGCAGTGACGGTGGCAGCGGTGGCTTTGCTTTGCTTTGCTTTTCTTTTTGAAATTGCAGGCCGCCGAGATATTAATCGAAAGGAATTTTGTTTCCCAATCTGGCTCTGAATTTATTTTTCCCTCTATTTTGGTTTTTATTTTAAAAAGGCTAAAAAATTACGAGATGGGCTGGGCTAGTTTTTGATTATTTTGATGAGTGAGAATCCGGTTCATAATTAATTAAGATTTTATTGGTGGGCTTGGATCTAAGTCCATGACGATCGGGATGGACCACCTGTCCGACCATCGTACAGTTTGAGTGAAGAAAAGGAATTTGTGTTTTTTTTTTTTTTAAGAGCAAAGTGAAAACGCCAATGGTTAAGATTTAAGATTAATTTTGAAGGTCTCGGGCTCAATCCCTTAGAAGATTTAGAATTTAATCAATATTAGTATGTAAAAATTGGTTTAATGAAGTGGGAAATACCATAATTAAATTTTTGAAAAAACAAATAGAGGTAAGTAAACAACTACCCAATATTTAAAAAAACATAGCATTTAATTATTTACTGTTTCTAAATAGAAAAAAACATAAATAATAAGAATAGAAGAGATATGCATGTACTTCCTGTTTTTTCCTGTTATAAAAGTATAAAAATTCATTTTAAAATTATTTTAAAAATATATTTATTTTTGTTTTATAATTAAATATATTTTTACTTTCACTATCTCTATTTTTTTTTTATCTTGTATGATAATCAAGCATGAACTAAAATGTTTTCACTTTCATTTTAATAGTGAGTATGATAAAAAAAAATAATTAAAAAATATATTAACTATACTAGTTAAATGCAAATTAATCCTATCAAAAATCCTTTTTTTATTGTTTTGGGAGATTGTAAGATTATTTCCATGCAACAAATATTTTTTTAAAAAAAATATTTTCTTTTTTTCCCCCATAAATCAAGTTTTCTTTGCAACTAATTGGGCACAATCTTCTCTCTTTTCTTTTAGCTAATTAACCCTAGAAAAAGTTTCCCTTTTGCGATTTGCCTACGCATGGAGTGACCAACTACGTATTGCCAAACAAAGTATTCTTGAAGCCATGGAAACAATTTGAAAGGAATAAATCTAAAACAATGGCATGCCAATTACACAAAGAATAGCATCGTCCAAAGCAACAAATAAACAGAACACACAAGGCTTCGAATCATCAAATTTATTTATATACATTCTCTTGCATAAAAACCAAGAATCCATAGCTCTTCTCCTCTCATCAGAGATATCAGAACAAAATCTGAAAACAAACAAAGGCTAAAAATGGAATCAAAGCCGAGTACTGGTGCAGTTGCTGCAGGACGTGTATACGAAGAGTTTGAACCAAATATGGAATGGGATCGAGAGCTTGGAGTTGACACTCTGCGAGTCCTCCTGCCAGGTCTAGCAAGGCTTCTTAATTTTTATTTTTATTTTTAGTTTTTTCTCCAGTTTATTCTAGTTTTCTTTTTTTTCCTTTTGTTTTTCAAGAATAATAATTAAGAACAAAATTGTGAAATGAGTTTTGCTTTTTAGCCTGGAAATGTTGAGCATAGCTAGTAGTGTTGACTGCAATCATGATATAAAATTATTTTTAGAATCTCATTCAACCATTCAATACTGTATATAAGTTGAGATAATTATTTAAAACAATATCAAAATTTTAATGATCAAAACAGTTAAAAATTTAAATAACTAATTATCTAATCAAATAAATAAAATTAAACATAATGCTACAGCCGACCTATGAAAGTTTTAAATTTAAAGAATTTTAAGAAATAATATAAAATTATTTTTGATATCTCATCCCATAGTTAAGCTTTTGAATGAATTTATGAATTTCCTTGTGGGATTTTTTTCTCTCTCGATCCGTGTGCAATTCTTACGCAGAATTCCAGAGAAAGGCAAATCTAACATTTTACTTGTCATGTTTTGGTTTTCCTGCAGGCTTCAAGAAAGAACAGATAAGAGTTCAAGTAAGCTCATCGCGTGTTCTAAGGATAAGTGGAGAACGCCAACTCAGTGACAAGAGATGGAGCTGTTTCCTCAAGGAGATTCCTCTTTCATCAAATTATAACCCTAAGGAGATCTCAGCAAGGTATGATAAGGGAATCCTTTACGTCAAGCATCCTAAACTAATTGTTCCAGATGATGCTGAGCTACAGGAAAACGAGCAACCGCCGGTGGAATCATCGACGCTGGATGGGAAGCCACCACAGGATAAGGCACAGCAACCTACAAAGATGGATAAAGATGAAGCAGCAAAAGGACTCGTGAGTGAAGCTCAGAAACTAAATATGGAAAGTTACAGCAAGGATTTTAGTGGTTTGGTCATGGACATGACAAAGCCAAGAAAATTGGTGAACCTGGTTCTGTTTATTTTATCTGTTGTGGTACTTGGGATGTATGCCAGGAAAGCCATCAGCTGGTCCTTCAAGAAATCTGAGAATTAAGTCGTTTGATGCACATCTGTATATGAATCTACAACAACTGCAACCATGTTTGCATTTTAAATAATTCAACAGTTGTAGCAAAGTTCCTTTCATTCATATATATATATATATACACATACACATATATGCGTTAACCAAACTTCAAAAAAATATCAATGGTGCATATATTTCAACAAATGTTGAGGGCATTTCAAACAGCCAGGAGAGTGACAGTATCTTGGCCCAGTCCATGCGAGGTAATGGCCTAATGGTTTTGTCCCACAAAAGGGATATGACAGGTTTGTAACTTTGACACCATATAAGCTCAAGATCAGTCTAGTACACATCTGACATGGGATCATGACAGGCTCACTTCGTTCAATCCCTTAAATCCTCGTCGAGTAGATAACTCAAGATCTCTACGTGGATCTCATCTCATGATCACTGAATGTGATGGTCTTAACCCAATCTTTGTGAGGTGTTGTCTGCTTTAGCCAAATGGCCTTGTAGTTTAGTCCCTCGAAAGGCCTCACAGGTCAGAAACTTTGACCATCCATGCAAGTTCAACGTCACTCTACTACACACACACACACACACACACACACACACAAGAAGCATGTTAAGACTAAGGGCAACACCATCAACGCTGTTTCAAATCAAGACCGAAGGGGCAGCTAGTGCTGTCAGCATTTCTCTAAGTTCAGGAATTGAAAGAATTCTGAAAGTACAATATTACAATTCATGGAACAAGGAAGCTCTCTCTGAAACTTTCCCAGATCATGAACTAGGACAATGATGAGGATATATGCTTAGGATAATCACCGGGTTGTTTTGAACAATAGAAGCAAACACGATAATGTTGTAAATCATGAATTAGATTAATATTAAAGATGCTAATTATTGGGGGTTCCAACCAGTGATTTTATGATTGTTGTTCATTTGAAGCTAAATATACCAACATAATATTTAATGTAGTTTAGTAAATCACCTAGATCCACAAGAGAAACCAATATTATTAGAGATAGATAGAGAAAAGGTTACAACACACATGAAGGAGGAGGATCACTTCACTCAAACTCAACTATCATTTCTCTTACACACTACTGCACATTGCAACAAGGCTACTGCCCTTAGCAGCTGTTGTAATCTAATTTTGGATTCACTAAGATTTTCTTGAATATTATTTTATTTTATAAAAAAACTATAAATAAAAAAAGAGTTTAAAATATATTTTCTTGAGTCAACTGCATCTTTCGATCAAAATCGAGTTCACCAGGTCAATACGGGTTAAACGATGTCGACCGGGATAAAAAATGAGTTTCGGGCTGTTTCGGGTCAAAACCGTCATTTTACGTCAAAACCGAGTCTACTGAGTCAATACGGGTCACACCATGTCGACCTTGATGAGAAATGAGTTTCGGGCCTTTTCGGGTCAAAAACATCATTTTGGTCAAAACCGAGTCCACCGGGTCAATACGGGTCCCACCATGTCGACCACAATGAAA